CTGAACCCCTAGGCTACCCGGATGCTGATGGCCCGTGTCCTTCTCTGCCCTAGGTTCAACAACGTCAAGGTTCACTTGGAAGAGTACCTGTCCCAGATGGAGGAAAAGATAATCTCCAACCAAAGTAACATGGACCATTTCTACTTCATGGTGGTACACTGTCTGGAGGTGAGTGGCCATTGGGAAGCGCTGGGAATTCCAACAAACACCTTAACTTGGAGCCACCACCCCAGCTAAAACCTTTTAATCCCATTAATTATTGCTCTTTGTGCCTGAGGAACCAGAGGAAGAGCTCACCTTAGAGACGAGGAGAAGCCAGGAGGAAGAAGGAGGGGCTGCTCTGGTAGAAGCCACCTTTGGATGCTCAAAAATTGTCTCTTTCTCTCGAGCAGGATTTTATGTATCCTTCTTCTGAAGAAGACATCAGCCAGCTTGCTGAAAACTGCCTCTCCACCACAGACCTGTCTGCTTTCTGCAAGTCAGAGGTCTCCAGAATTAACACCCTTCAGTTCATCGCCCAGCTCCGGCTCTCCATCAGTCACGTGGCCACCGTGCTTGGCCGATGGATGCTTTCCGGTGAGTCCTTTCGCTAGCATAGCATGAGGACTGTGCCTACCCCATAGCAGGTCTAGAACAAGCCCAAAAAAGGTCTAGCCTTGGAGGTTTCTGCTGGAAAATGTCTGTTTTTATGAAATGTGAAGTGATTTTGGATGAACTTTCCAGTTCTTCAGTCCCCAGACTCGCGGTGTTCTCCACAACATGTTAAGGCATCTTCCATACATTGGCTGGTAGCCATGTTTCAACCGGTGGGGAGAAGATCCTACTGCAACCTAGATCCTAGTGCAACCTAACCAGCCTCAGGGGCTGTGCTGGTGAAGGATATGTGTCGATGTGCCACCACTGGCAACTGGGTGTGACGAGAAACCTCCTTTCCAGCTGCAGATCCCAACGCGCCCGCTGCCGAGGGGACCGAGAATGAGCAAGACTTGGTGAATTCAATGAAGCAGCTGGTTGCGAAGGCTCCGACTCCGTGGCCTCAGGTGTTCCTCATCAGAAACCTCTGTGAAATCTACGGGCTGACCTCCATGTGGAAGATCCTCCAGGCGGAGAAGTGGATTTTACCCCGAGGGGTAGAAATTTCGCAGGTGGGTTGTTTCCCGAGAGCCTTGTGCCGAAGCAGAGCTGAAGCGGGGGGGTGGGATTCACCGAGCTCAAGCCCCTCTACAATTGACTCATTGGGTTCCCTTCCAGTTGAGGAGCGCACCAGGCCCTCGTGGGGTGCAGTCCACCTTCTCTTCATGCCCTTCCACTTGTTTTTAGGGTAACAACGTGCGTCTGTGTTTTGCAGGACAGAAATGCCTGGTCGAACACAGTGCTGATGTTTTCGGTGCTGGACAAAGCACAAAACCAGTTAAAAAGCAAAGATTCCACAGAAAACCAGAGCCTGACTGTGAGTATCTGTTGTGTCTCTCACAGGAGGTGTCCATGGGTGTTGGTTTGGAACTGTTAGTGGCTGATCTGGACCAGTTGGTTGGTCTGGAACCATTGGTTGATCTGGAGCAGTTGGTTGATCTGGACCAGTTGGTTGGTCTGGACCTGTTGGTTGGTCTGGAACCTTTTGTTGGTCTGGAACCTTTTGTTGGTCTGGAACCTTTTGTTGGTCTGGAACTATTGGTTGATCTGGACCAGTTTGTTGGTCTGCAACCACTGGTTTGCTTGGAGCCATTGGTTGTTCTAGAATCAGGAGATTTCCATCTGTGTTGGTGGAGAGCTGTGGCAGCTCCTCGCTGCCAGGGGACGTAAATGGGACTTTGCATGGACACTGAACCTCAGCGGTGAAGCCAGAAGACCCCTCACGGAGAGCTGCCACGCCGATTGCCTTCGCTTACATCTGTTTCATTCAATTGTTGTAGTCTGTCATAAGACAAATGGAGAACCTCCTCCGGTTGCCGTCCGTCCCAGAGGAGCTGCTGGAAGACAAACTGAAGAAGATCATGGATGCTTTGAGTGACAGCGAAGACCCAAGCCTGCTGGAAGTGGTCTTCCACACTGCAATCACTCTGGCCTTGTTCCCGAGCCGTATCACTCACCTGCTCAAGAACATCTGCTTCAAGCCTGATGTGGTGAAGGTGAGTTCTCCCTGATGACAGTGGCCGTGCAGGAGAACCCTTCCTCCCCACCGCTTGTTTTAGAAGCAGAATTGTTCCTCAGATAGGTGGGAAGCGAGCTAGGAAGCTGGTTACTCCACACCTCACTTTCTATGGTGTTTCTTTTCCAAGGGATCCTACCTTCCCACCATGCCTGGAGACCTGCTTTTTGACGAGAAGAACTGGAAAATTGGTGCGACTGATAAGGTTTGGAGTAAGTATGGGGGGAATCTTGCTGCTCCTGTGCATGTAGGGGGCTCACCAGCAACTGACTGAAATCGGCCAGGTGATGAAGGGAAGGAGTTAAAGACTCCTGAAGGCCATCTCTGTCCTTCTGCTGAGTCCTTCATGATCTCCACCCGGGCGGAGCAACTTTGGGTCCATTTTTGAGAAGCTCTGCAAGAGGCATGGGGTAGGGCTGGATGCCGGCAAGTGGGAGCCAGGCCTGTCACGCTCTTGGTGAGCTTCTGGCCACGTTCCCATCATGGAGGTGGTCATGGACGTGACTAACTAACCATATCCTCTTTCACACACAGCTTGTCAGTGTGGCTCGTACTGGATTGTCACCAACGTAAGTGTCTCCTTCTGGCTGGTGGTCCTTGAAGCTCTGTCTCCTTGTGCTTCTCATTGCATCTGTG